TATATAATGGTATTAAAATATATTGTCTGTTTCCAATATTTAATGATGTACTATAATAGTTATGGTATCACCTGTGATACTGAGGTTATAGCTTTGATTTTTTAGAGCTCAGGGTAAAACATTATACATGATAAATTTTAAGCAGTGCATTTTAATTTTATTTTTCAGATATGATATGTGAAATCTATTGACATATATGTGATTTACTGTAAATTTTGGCACACAAAAAAGCATTCGAACACATTAAGATCAGTGGATGAAAATTCTTATGCTATGAACACTTAGGGACTCAAAACCATTTTAACTGTTGATATGAGAGAGTCAAAACTACCTTTGCATCTTACTTTCTAAAAGTGTAGTTGAATAGTGGGAGGTGTTAGTGAAATAATGTGGACTGAATATGACTCAATTTTTATTGAAACTTGAGTAAGTAAAAATGTAAGTTAGAGTAATCTAAAAGCTTGCCTTTAAAAAGCCAAAAAAGCCAAAAACATTTCAAATGATTAATGAATAAATTTTATCTTTTGTTAACAATTGATTTTTGAAGAGCAATTATTAATTTTTATATAAAATTTAAAATGCAATACATACCTTATGTTTTCTAAAATTGCTTCTTTTTATATTACCTTCCAACAGTTTTTTGGCCTGTATCATAAATTTCAACATATTTATAATTTCTTTTTGTCTTTTAGTTAGTATACCTTGTTTAGCATGACAATTTGGAGTTTGCAGAGTAGTACATTGACTTTTCTTTGTGCTCTATCTCATTAATGGTATCTCTAGTTATTCACGTAATAGCAGTTGAAACCCTTCTAGACTTCCCTCTTCTTACTTCCCACACTAAATCATCCTTGTTCTTTTCTGCTTCAATAGTCTAATTATCATTGGAAACCATTCTTTGCTCTTCCTGCCCCTGTCTGGGTTGAACATTCATTTTTTTCACAGTTGGACATTAGTGATAGCCTACCAACCAACATCATTTTTCTTTTGGTCTGTTTCTCCTCCAGTCAATCCATCAAATTGCTAACATTATCATTCTAAAATAGAAATCTAGATTGTTGTAACATCCTCCTGCTTTGATAGCTTGCCGCCACAGGGTAAAGTCTAAATTTCTTGGTTTGCCATGGAAGAATCTTTATTAGTCCATCACAACCTACTTTACAACATCCAGGGGCAGCTGTTGCAGGTACTGCCAAATCTTCCCTATTCTAAGTAAACTTGAACCCATGTGGTTGAAGTTTTGATGTCTTTATCTTCTGTCTTACATAACAAAATGCTCTTCTTTACTATTTAAGTGATACAGATTTACTTAAATTATCTTCGCTATAAAACTTAAGTGATTATTTAGAAGTGAATTCCTCCCTCTTCAGCTATTCTAGATCTGTGAAGGGTACAGATCTTTATCTTTGTAACTATAACACATTTTTTCTGACATATAAGCATTTCACTTCATACGTGTTGAATTCCTATAGATTAGGAAGCTGATGCCTCAGTGATTAAGTAATGAAAGTTAATGAAAGAGCAGAGATACATTTAAAATAGGAATACAGTTATGAACATGGTGGCTTTCTCACCAAAGCCAAAGATTCTCACTAAAATAGAGGTCTTGCTAAGTTAAATTAGTTGATCTGAATGGTTGCTTAATGATTATCTCACTTAGAAAAAGTTTTAATTGACAGTCATCTTTTGAGAATGGGAAAAGGAAGAAAAAAAATACAAGGTTTAAATTAGTC